ATTGAATTTTGGAATGGGAGGTTTTCTGGGTGTAAACATCAAGTTGGAACTGGAGAAGCAAAGAGAGCTGCTAAGAGTTTAGGGGTATTGCTGTCAATTCCTCAGCTCTGGTCAACTAAAAGAATCACTTTAAAAAAAAAAAAAAGCTTACTAGAGGCTTAGAAGTCTCATAAGAATTTCTGCCTCAAGACTTTAATATGAGGGACATGAGAAAATGAAGTATTTACCAGGTGATAATGAATGAAAGACACAGGGCAAGACCAAATTACCATGTAGGTTTCTACTCACAAAAATTAATTGCTATGAAATAAAATTAGAATATTGTCTGATCTGTTAAAAAGATAATGGTCACTTTATTTTTTGTTTGCTTATTTATTTTTTTAAAGACAGTGTTTCTCTATGTAAGCTCTGGCTATCCTGGAACTCAGTCTATAGACCATGCTGGTCTCAAACTTAGAGATCCACCTGCCACTGCCTCCAGGGTGCTGGGATTAAAGGCATGTGTCACTTTAATTCCAGTGAGTATATGGGCAATATAAGTTGGACTTGTGATTTTTTTCCCTTTTTCTTTTTCATGAGGGGTGTCCTTGGGGCTGGAGAGATGGCTCACCAGTTAAGAGCACTGGTTGCTCTTCCAGAGGTCTTGAGTTCAATTTCCAGCAACCACATGGTGGCTCACAACCATAGGTAATGCGATCTGATAATTTCTTCTGGTGTGACTGAAGACAGTGACAGTGTACTCATATATGTAAAATAAATACAACTTAAAAAAATAGGTATGGCCTTGTTGGAAGAGGTGTTTCACTGGAGGTGGGCTTTGAGGTTTGAAAAGATTCCCACTCTTTCCAGTGTTTCTGCCTCCTCTGTGTGGACCTGGCTGTGAGCTCTCAGCAATTGCTGCCATGCGTCTTCTCTGCCATTGTAGACTACAATCCTCTGAAACTAAAAGCCAATTAAGTACTTTCTTGTATAAGCTGCTTTGGTCACACTGTTTTATCACAGCAATTAAAAAATAACTATGGCTAAGTGTATGTAGACATACACATACAGTTTTCCATGAACTTGGGATACTTGTAGAAATAGTGATTCCCTCAAAAACCATAGATTATATGACAGAAATCCCACTACCACACATGAGAAACACTCTTTTACATTGTTGGTCAGGGCAGTCCAAGACACTCCTAAAACAACACAGGGCATTGCTGTGGTCCTGGGCTCCCTTCCAGAAGTTAAAGGTAAGATTCTGCTGCTAAAGACAATGTACAACTTGGACAAAGAATTTCAAAGACTCAAGATGGATCTAACCTAAAATTCTTCTCCCTGAGGACTGGCCTTCAAAGTATTGGAAAGTGCTATGTAAGCTTCCAAGGGAGAGAGAAAAGTACCTATGATACACACAAACCATAACAATAACCAGCACAGAAAATATTCGTTAAAGTGGTACTTATGTCTTGGCAGTAACTAGCTGTCCAATTGAACTTAAGCCCCCCTGAACAGGAGGGGAATCATATCTGGTAATCGAAATGTACCCAGTTATTGATGATTAGTGATATCATGGCTCTACAAGGAGACTTACTACTGCCTCTCTACTAAACCAGTATAATTTGAAACTGTATTCTAAATACTCATCCTTATACTCACAAATAGGTGTGGCTCACACCAATCACCAAAGACACTCCTCTTTGCAGCAAAACTAGACCATTACAGAAAGTCACAGCTGATCAAAATGGAAAGATTGTAGGGTGTTGTATCTTAAGAGGTACATCTACAGGACAATCCCTATACTATACGTAAGCCTCAGGGACATCACTGAAAAGGGAGAAGAAATAGTGTTAAGAATCAAAGAAACATGTAGTCTGCTGTGAGAGTGTAACTTCTAGAAATGACAAGCAGGCTACCCACGATACTTCTTCCATGTCACTTCAACACTATGCCTGCCTATGTAGAACCTGGACCATGGCTCCAGCAATGGTCATGCTAATGTAGAAAGAAGAAATCACAGGGGATCCCAAACCCTAGACAAACAATTGCAGGCAAATAAGGACAGCAAAGAAGGGAGAATTAGTCTTTCTTGGTGCTCCCTAACTGACTATATCTAAACAAGTGGTCAGCCCTGAGAAATCACATAATATAAGAAATACTAAACAAACTCAGCAGGTGATATATATACATATATATATATATATATATATGTATATGTGTGTGTGTGTGTGTGCGCGCGCATGTGTACGTGCATGCGTGCATGCACAACTTTTCTTCAAGCATGATATAACTTTACATAGAAATTTTAGGTGTTACAAAGGTAGATGAACAAAGTTTCGTAGGTAAAACTTATGGTAAATTCTGATCCTCAGTATTGCATTTGAAGAATAAAAACATTAAAAATAGTCAATTCATATGGTTCCTGTGGATTTATTCCTCACACTTTCAAAATCCATCAGTTAAGCTTTGCATATGGTATTGAGTTATTGTTAGGCACCAAATAAAATTAAGTACAAACTTGCTTACTTTTAGCTTGAGTCCCACAATATATTGCTTAATATTCCCTTTACTTGGGTCAGTATTAAACTAAAATTGCTGAATGTCCTTTTGGCAGTCTTTTAAAAAAGGGTAAAGTTTCCAAACAAGAAGTTTTCTTTGAAAGAATACTAAAGATAATGTGTAGACATAAATGTTCTCTGAAACTTCAGAGAAAATTCTAGATTGTTGATTTGATACGATGCACATTCAACTTAAATGTAAACCATCTTGAAAATAAATCTAATGTAACTCATTTCGCTTATGAGAAACCTAAAATAAGTCTGTGATTAAATCTTTTAAAAGAAAACAAAGCACAAAGAAGAATTACCATAAATCTGTTGTATTGTCAAGGTACTCTAGAGGAACAGAACTTGTAGAATTATATATTATATATACATATATATATTTAATCATAAGCATATATATGTAAAGGGAATTTATTAGAATGGCTTAAGGCTTAAGGCTCTGGTTCAGCTAATCCAAAAATGGCTGTCTGCCAAAAGAAGGTCCAAGAATCCAGTACTTGTTTAGTCCATAAGATTAGACGTATTAGCTAGCCTTCAGTTTCTGGTGAAATCTGGAGGAAGTTGACTCTAATGCTAGTGAAGGAATGGACTTGCTAGGAAGAATGAAAGCAAGCAAGCAGGCAGGCAGGCAAGCAAGCAACCAAGCAAGCAAGCAAGCAAGCAAGAAGGCAGGCAAGCAAGCAAGCAAGCAAGCAAGCAAACAAACAAACAAAGAGAGTAAGCTTCCTTTTTCCATGTCCATCATGTAGGCTACCAGCAGAAGGTGTGGCTCAGACTAAAGGTAGAGCTTCCCACCTCGAAAAATCCAGACTCAAGGTCTGTTTATCTAAAGATCTGGATTAGAAGTGGGTCTTCCCATTTCAAATCATTTAATTAAGGGGGAAAAAATCTCCCACAGATATACCCAGTCATTTTTGTTTTTGTTAATTCCAGATGGAGTCAAACTGACAACCAAGAATAACCATCACATCTATCATCCTCAAATGGGTCTTCTTAACAGTTAACATCTATTCTCCCACTTTTTTCAGTGGAGTTCATTTGTTTCCCCTTTCAGCCGGGAGCCTATCTTTGCCACGCTATAAGTTTAACCAGGAAAAATGAGTAAACATTATATTGTCAAATACGTTAGATTATTTATTGTTTTTCAAGAGAGTAGAGTTTTAAGTAAAAAGAAAAATCTTGTAGTGCTATGCAGTGAACAGGGTAACAAAACAAATAATAGTCCTTCCTGGCAGTGATTCTAACTGGAGGGGAACGTGTGCTTCTGCATATCTTAGAGCCTCTGAGAACAACTTGAGTAGCAAGTTGTTACTTCCTGAGTTCACCAAGTGTGTTCTTTAAAAAGTCGATGCATGTATACGCTAACGCTGGCATGCATTTAAAATGTATTTACTTCCTCTTTTAAGTACATATATAGGTGTATATCTCTGTGGGGATGTGTGGGGACAATGCCCATAGAGGTCAGAAGAGGCTAGTACATCCTCTGAGCTGGATTTGCAGGAGCTTATGGATGTCTGGTGTGGATCTTGAGAAGAAAACTTGGGTCTTATGGAAGAGCAGTATGTTCTCCTAACTCCTGGACCATCTCAGTAGGTCTAGAATTAATGTTGCTGCAGTTATAGAGAGTAAATAAACTGCTGATGAATTAAATTGGGATCATTTACCTTTGTTTTTAGTATGGGAATTTGACTTTGCATTGATGCTTATGACCTAGTTTATAGCACTGGTACATGTCTGTAAGACCAGTCATCATATTTGATTATCAAAAAATCATTCTTGTCTACTCTGAACACCAAGTCTCATTTCTCTCATTCCTTTCTTTTACCTTCTCTAGCAAACATCCCAGAATTTTGTGCTATCACTGTACTCTGGGTCTCTCCTGTTTGTGTGCCACGCAGTTACAACATGACTTGGAATCCAGTGTTTCATGTATTTGGGCACACTGAATAAAGCTAACTACGCAGGGATAGAGCTGAGTTATCTTACTCTTTTCTCTTTCCTGAGTAACTATTCTGAGATGACTTCACTTCTGAGGATGTCCTTATATGGTTTCCTAAATGGTCCATAACATTTCTTTGTGGGGTGAGAGGGAAGAAGTTCCAATTGATGAGGAAAATAGAATGGTAATAATGCCATATAATATTAAAACATAACATTAACCTTCCTCTGTGTGCTTCATCTGATATGCTTCTCTTATTTATCTTTAGGCTCACCACTATTGGCTTCATTCAGCTCTGCCTATTATATATCAACCAGCTTAATTCTTTATTTCAGTATTGTACTTTACCATTGTAAAATATTTTTTAGTATAGGGGATATGCTGCAAATTTCCATTTTCTGTTTTTATCAACGTTTTGGCCTCTTCCGTTATTTTACGTGTGTTTATCAGTTATTTTTGAAATCCCTGTGTTTTGCTTTTAATTTGCATACTATTGTTTTGTCTTTTATTTTCAGGATGAGCAGAAGCTACAAGAGAGTTTAAGACAAAGTGCAGCCATCATAGCTGCCTTAGTTAAGGAAAGAAATTCTGCACTCGTTGGGCAGCTCCTGGTGGCATGAAGAACACAGACAAAAATCATCTATAAGCTTCCAAAGAGACACCCCCTTCCCCACCTCAATGTCTCCTCCTTGTACACAGAATATTTTAATTGTTTTCTTTATCTTGCCACTTATTGGATGTGATACTTAGGTTGTGAAAATGGGTTAATGTTTGTGTCCATGAAATTATGTGTCAAATAAAAGTGGCTCCAACCAGAAAAGGCTAAATAAATGGGAAATACTGCTTTCCTGTAAAGAATCTGTTCACGACTGCAGCAAGTCCAACTAAAATGATAAAGTGAGGCATTCCTTCAAGGATGAGAGCTTAGACAGCTTGGCTGTTAAGTCTATGCTAATTAACATATTGGTCACATTATGGTGGAGCTAATGAATACCCTTCAGAATTAGTCCTAATTCTAAAATTCTCATCTTACCATGTGATAATGTATCTTGTTGCCTTGTTTTGGAATTCACTACACCTTATAAAGAGGAGGGGAGCAGGGAAGTTGGTTTAGTGGGCAAGCTCTCGCCTAGTATGAATGGAGCAACATCATCACATAAGAAAAAGAAAACCATGCTGGTAAATATAGGAAAAAAACAGGAAAGGGGGTGTATCCAGTTTTCTTCCTCTTTATCTTTTATTGCTCTCAATCTCTAGAAATCTCTAAAGAGAATGAGATCCACTCTTTTATCAGTTTTAAATTGTATCTTTTCTTTGGTTTATGAGATGTTATGCTGATACTATTTTAAAGAGTCTCTACTTCTTCTGGGTTAGTTTCAGAAATGTCTGAAGAGTTTCATGAAAGTTGAGTTGCTTCAGTCCATTCATGCCCATGGTCTTCTGAAAGACAGGGAGGCCACTTAGCTAATCTTGATATAGGAATGGTGGCCTTGCTAAATCAAGATTTCATTCTTTGCAATTTCTATTGGCCATACATAATATTGTCATTTATGTTGCATTTAATACTTATATATATGTACAGTTGTTAAAATGCCTTTAGTTACATACATACATTTTATTGAAATATGTTAAATCAGAACACACTAGAACTTACACTGGATGAAGAAATTATAAAAGCTGCATGAAGTGTGTTTACTCAGGATTGTCAATAAATGTGTCTACTTTTTGAAATGTCTCCTGTAATAAGTTAAATAAATTCCTCTATCTTTTTGAGTTTCAATATACAATCAGACTTAATGTATTACATTTGAACAGTAGAGGAGATTTCAAATACTAATATTGTAGTAGAGTTTATAGTTTACGTTTAAATAAAAAGGGGGTAGAATAAAATGAGCATGGGTTAGTTACTGTAGTTCTTCCTAAATATAATGGGTTAATTGATTGTAAACTCAGATATAAATTAGTCAGCTCATCCTTTTGTCCTGGCAAGGATATCTGGAGGAGAGGCTGGAGATAGAGAGGATCTTGGATTGAGCTCTGAGGAATGGAGAGACACGGGGAAAGCAGAAGTGGAGCACATCTCTGGCACTGGCTCGAACAAATCTCACCACCATCCAGCCTTAAGCAGGGTGAAAGGAATGGAAAGATTAGGAACCAAAAGATAAGGGAAAAGTATTCTATTTTAAATTGTTTATTAAAAGACTATGAAGAAAGAAACTTTACATTTTTATTACCATTTTTGTAAATTTGATTACTTTAATACCCTGTCAATTCTGACCTTATTTCCCAAAATCATTTAAAAATAGTGATTATGGTGAAATCTCTTCTAGATGTAGAGAAGTGTTGTAACTATTTATACTTCAAAATCCATACTATTTAGTTAGAAAAGATTTAAGTGATTTATTTTAAAAATGCAAAGCTGAACAATGGGGGCCATGGCTTATGTTGGTAAAGAGTAGTAGGGTACATTTTACACTGAAATGCTTCATTGAAGAGGCGACTTATGGCTATGATCATCACAGCTCCAGGGATGGAACTGATTGTAGCACTGAGGAAATGAAAAACTGACCTACACAGAAAGATACTGGGACACACAGAAAGGCTGGGCTTGATGGTCTGACATCTCAGATTGAGAGGTCTCAGAGCCCTAGCAACTCAGAATGTTAACTGTATGGAGTTGAACAGAGAAGCAGGGTTATTTTATACAGCTGAACAAGGAGGCAGAGTTTTATTCAGATAAACAAGGAGGTAGGATTATTATGTTCAGCTGAAGCAGGTTTAGCTGCTCACGATAGGAGCACTGTCTGTCAGTGCTTTAGGATTTCCATTGCTGTGAAGAGACAGTATGAACACAGCGACTCTTGTAAAGAAAACATTTAATTGGAGCTTACTTACAGATACATAGGTTAGTCCATTTCCGTTATGGTGGGAAGTATGGTGTCACATAGGAAGACAAGATTCTAGAGAAGGAGACAGTGTTTTATATCTGGGTCAACTGACAAAAGGGTGTGTGTGTGTGTGTGTGTGTGTGTGTGTGAGAGAGAGAGAGAGAGAGAGAGAGAGAGAGAGAGAGAGAGATCAGCTGACAAAAGGATGAGAGAGAGAGAGGTCAGCTGATTTCTAGCTCACTCTCCATTGATGACATCTCCAGCACATGTCAACACCTCTGTTCATTTGACCTTCTACAAGACATTGAAATAATAAATGCTCAGTGATTTTGTTAATATTGAGTTTGGGGTCTTTTATTACATGACAATTAGTGGCCAAAGCTGGGAGGGTGAATCTGAAGCAATAGGTGATATATTTTGTCTTTCTAAGTCTAGGAATTTTCTGGAAGACACACATTTGCTAACATAGAATGCTCATAGGATAATGTTTGGTTAGAGCAATGATTCCAGAGTGCTGGGAAATTCTAATCCTAACTCCATAGTCAGTAGTTTTGTAAGGACATAAGTAGACCTGACTATTTAGAGTTTTTTCAAAATAGATAAAGCCTTCTTGAATATGAAATGATATTGAGTTAAAATTATCGACAGTGAAAACAAAATATAAAAATAGCTAATGCTTATTGAATGATTACTATGGTTGAAGAAATGATCTCAATGCTTTATATAACTTCATATTTCATGGTATAGTTCTTCATAATAATTTTGTATGCTACGTACATAAAATAGTACTCATTGCCATTTACAGAATAAGGAAACTAAGACACCTTTTAAGTGACCAATTCACAATCACCAAAAAGAGAGTGGGAGAAATAATAATGAAATTTATTTAACTGGTCTTAGAGCATGCTTTCCTAACAACAATGGAATGTAATATTGTAAAATATACTCTTTAATATTACTTAAAGCTCTCAAAGATATGACTCTTTTTCATTAATAGCAAAATATTTTCTAGATGAAGAAGTAGGTCTAGAAAACAGCTTGGGAATGAGAAAGTAGACTGTCTTCCCTTTGCCATGATCAACTCTGAATTATGTATGCTCCTCAGTGTTTGCTCTCATGGGAAATTTTTGCAGTAGATGGTGAGCTGTTTGGAGAACAGAGGCAGATTGGAACCAAATTGTTCTTCCCTTCCCATGGGAAACATTGGATCCTTTGATTTTTTTATAAATGTCTGCTTAGCTCAAATGAATTATGTAAATTAATTCTCTGTTTAATGAGGATGCTACCAAATAATCTGAACAGTTGTTAAAACATCTGGTTCTACTTAGCAGCATCGATGGGGCCTGGCTTGTCTAACGCAGCTTTCTCTTCCATTTTAACCTTAGTAATCCTTGCAGGGTTTCTGTTAAGTCCGTTTGGATCAGCCTTGTTACATGACAATTGTGAAAAGGCAGATGCAGAGGTGAAGGACCTATGACCATCCTGGATGCTAGAAACTACAAAGACACATTTTAGCAAATTGCATCAGGAATAGGAAGGTCTGCTCTTTACTTGGGGCTTAAAATATCTGACTTACATCCACAATCCTAAATTTTATCCTTATTTTCCATTTTGTGAAACTAATTGAGCTTAGAGGAAGAAGCGTTCAAACAGCAATCATAGTGATGGCTTGACCCAAGAAAGAAACATGGCACAGGGCTCTTCATGGGACCAATCCTATATCTCTACTGTTCTGTAGAGAATCATTCCAGTCTGCTTATTGGGACAGGGACTGTCATTGTGTCTGGTAGGTTAACTGAGAGAGGTTTCTGGAGCTCTACTATTTGGATCTATCTATCTTTTACACAGTTAGTTAGTTAGATAGTTAGTTTGTTTGTTTTTTGCTCTGCATATAATAGAAATGGGCTCTTGAAATTGGTTGTCTTATTGGTACAACCAGGTCTTTCTCATTATCCAGATTTTACATCCAGCTCCTTAATTCTGTTGCACTTAAGTTTTTTTAGTCTAAGTGGATAACAAATTCCATTTTAGGTTTTTGTCATTAATCTATGTTACTAACTTTCAATAGTTTGAATAACCCCCATCCTTTATGTGTGTTTTGAAGACTCCTGTGAAGCTTGTGGTTCCCCTTTCTTTTCCTGTTTGAATAGAAATTCATTTTCTTTAATCCCATCTGAGTTTTTTTAAAAAAAAAAAACAAAAAAACAAAAAAAAAAACTATTCTTGAACTGCCCACTTAAGGAATTCAGTTGTTGGCTTTTCTGAATGGAGGTATGCATGACTCTATGGTAAAAGAATTCTATTCAAAGACATTTCCGCCTGTTTGTTTTTTGGATCTGCCACTATTCACATAAGTCTGGAAAGGAGCCAAATTGTGTAAACAAATTAAGCTTTGAGGATCCCAGTGGGAATATCCATAGGTACTGCCATAAGCCTGCAACTTAAGACAAACTGAACATGCATGTTATCTTTGCCAGGGAAAGCTAGAGACTAGTGGTTCATCGCTATGATTGGGAATCTTAATGAATATTAAAAGATTTGGGTTAATTATGCAGCTATATAGATCACCACTTATTCCCAAACCTATGTGTTTTGCTAAGTAAATTTTTATTTTGATTTCCTTATAATTTTATATTAGACAAAAATTATTTCTGAAACTACAGTTTATACTCTCAGTCTACTAAAATGTATAATATATAATTTTATATCATTATGAAGAACTAATAATTATATTTCTGTGGCTATATATAGCAGTGAATTCAGTAAAGGACTATTTGAAAGAATGAATATTTCCCTCTTTTTAGACTCCCACTTGTCTTGAAATTATCATTCTCAGCGTATAAATTGAAAGGCATGTTTTGAGACACAAGCAATGTGACATTTTTTATGTAGTTTTTTTCTTTACTTTTGACCAAGTGATAAAACTTGAATCTAAACCTAAATCCAGACATTTCCCCTTATACCATGGTAGTTCCCTTACTTTCTCTGTGTATCTGTAGGGAGTACAGGTTTACAGAGTCAGAGAACAAAGTCTATAATTGTCATAAGGAAATACGTTCAGATGGGAATCAAAGTAACTGAAATGTGAGTGTATGATTGACACACTGGACTGTTTCTCACAGTGGACTATATTAAATATATTTAATGCATGCACACAATAAATGTTATGTTTAATTCTAATTATGCATTTACAATTAGCAATGTCATTGGCATTGCCAACTGGACACTCTTACAAAGATAATTGCTTAACTTTTTAATATGGGAATCCTAACTATCCTGTGATCTAAAATGAAATTGCACTTCCATTTTTATTATTTTCAAACTAAATTATATAATGTAAATTAACATTGCTCCTTCAGAAAACTTACACCATTCAGAGAATCCTTTCTAGCACTTTGACACATGGTCTATAAGTCCTTCAGCACATAGCCCTCCATAACGAGTTATAATAAACTACCAAATTATTGCCTTTGTTTTTCATGAGAAAGCTCCCATGTGGTCCTTTGCCACCCTCTCTCTTAATTGGCTCTGTGCATCTCACAAGACGATCCATTTTTGTTTTCAGAAAATCTCTCTTAGATGCTGTTCCAGCTCATCAGCTAGTTTGATCTGTGATGATGGAGTGGATGGACTTTCTCTGACATCTCAATCTTCCTTAGTGCAAGAGACTTGTACTATCACCAAAGATAAGCTGGTATAGATTGGGTGTTATACTGTAAGGGTCCTTTGTTCACTGAAGAATCATACCCCAGACTCAAATAGTTTGCAAAAGCAAGGAGCATTTTATTCTGCAGAAGACCAGGATGCAAAGGTCCCTAATTCCAAAATGGAGAGACCATGAAGTGAGCTCGCAGGCTAGATTTAAAGCACAGGATTCCGGAGTCGGTGATTTCT